GGTCTGTCGGCGTCGGGGTTTCCTCGATAATTCTAAATACATATCCACCTCTCTGGTTAGGAATTTCCACTTTTTTCCATTTTTGGGAGCCTTTCCTTACTTCCACCTTCTCACCATACTTCAGAGGGCGTGAACTGCCCTCGCCACTTCTTCGTAGCAGCTTCTCATACCTATACTCTGGATGAGGCGGCGACAGCCTCCTTCGTGCGTCACGTGATCACTACTCGACCAATGATGTCTTAGTCGGGCGTGGACGAATCCACGGCTTTGTTTCAGTGGAAAAAATATCTTGCTTAACTAAAAAAAAATTATCCCTTCTTTTCCTTTTCTTCCTCTTAATCGCCGTTATCTTTTCTCTAGCCGCAAACGGGACAATATGAACAATGGCGGTCATAACTCTTGTTCTACACGTGGTTTACGTCAGGTATTTTATCGCTAATTATCCGAATGGGTGGTCTTCTTAACACGGCCAACGTCGCCCCGAAAAGACATTTCTAAATTCCCATTCATTTCCCTTCGGTACATATTTCTGATAACATAATTTTATTATCGCAGGCCAAGGATATTCTGTCGAAGGAAATCGGTCAACGGACACTCGTGGGTGGCTTTTAATTTTTCATATCTGTCCAAAGTCCTTTTAGTTGCCTGTTTTTCGTCACTTATCGAAATAACATTTTCATTTGAATTTTTCTTTGGCCAGTCGGCCTGTAGTTGATAATAAGATGCCTTCCCGTACCAATAGTTTGTTTTCATATTCTTAGATAACACAGCCGTCGCCAAAACATATCTGATTCTTTCTTTCTTTCCCTTTCTTTTTACTCAGAATTTCCCTGTCATTGTAATGACACCCTTTCGCCATTTGTTACTTATCAAAATATCCCTTATCCATTGACTCTCCTTTTCTTCTTTTCTTTCTTTTCTTTTTCTGCCTCGTTAAATGGTGCCACATAGGGCAACTGAAATTTTCAGATGAATTCGTGTAGTAATAAGAAAATTATTAACAATTTCATAGGGTGTCTTATAATTATTTCCACCACTGTATATATATATATATATATATATATATATATATATATGTGTGTGTGTGTGTGAAAAGTGTATATAAATATAAATAAATATATATATGTATAATTATTTATATATTATATACGCGGTACTTTATTAGAAAGCGCTCAATATCAGAGATAGAGCTAACATATTTGGTTGGATAGATGTGAGTCTGTGACCCTGGGTTTCACGCTTTAGCGATCGTCAGACAAACTGATTAATGTTTAAAAAAATTTGGGTTCATGTAGATTGCGTGTATTGGTGTTATTGTGTAAGTGGTGGGGAAACTTCTTCGTTTTGTCATTCATCGTACTAACGCAAACATGAGAATAAACACCTATTACCAGGCAGCTTTAATATAATAACAATAATAATTTTGTAATTAAAAATTAAAATATATATATATATATATATATATATATATATATATATATTACTAGCATTACACGTCAAGTAAATTGAATTGAGTTTTCCGAGCCGTTGGCGTATTTCATATAGAGAAAAACGTTAAAATTCCCTTCCTTTGTGCCTTGCGGCGATGGCCTAGCGGTAAGATGTCAGATCAGTCGAGTTTCGATCCCACCTTGAAGCAATCGGACGTCTAGCCACCCTGAGGTGCTGTGAAACTGTCAGTCTGTGGATGACTATAAACCGTGTGTATTGGGAAAAACACTCCTAAACCCTTTACTCATACAGGTCTGAAGTTAATATTCAAATCACATAATAATTTAATTTATTGTCAACTTTTAACCAATTAATTTAGATGTGAAAACAAAGCTTAATTTAAATTATCAGTTTGGTTTAACATGTTTTATTAATGTTATTGAATTCTCTGTAGAAATGTAAAAACATAAAATGCCTTTTTACTTCAATAACAGGGTAATAAAATAATAAACAATTAGTCAAGAACTATAACAGAATAAATAACAACCAGCAATAATTTATTATCCATAGATTTTGTGAAATTCAGCAGGTCTAATTTCCGACATGTTGATTTTAATTTCTTCCTATAGGTCTGCTTTGCTGCCATATTGTTTGCTGCATTTATATAATTTCATCTTCATAATTGACACTACATTTTCAGTCAGATTCAGATCGGAACTTAATGGAAGCCATTCCATTATCTTCTCTCCTTCTTCCAGTTTCTAAGGACATTTTGTTTTGTTGTCAATAGTTACTTTGTTTTAATAAGTTGTCTTGTGTGTGTGTGTGTGTGTGTGTGTGTGTGTGTGTGTGTGTGTGTGTGTGTGTGTGCCGAGTTGTTAGTACGTACGCTTTCAGACCACAAAACCTGTGGTCGAACCTCACCTTGGTCGATTTCTCAGGACGGTGACTTCTTGATGTTATTAGTCTGACGAAGGTGATCCCAGCGTGCGTTATCTTTAGAAAAGGTTTGAAAAAAAACATAACACGGGTGTTGACTGGGTAAACGGGTTGTGCTAGCCATCGTGATCGAGGGTTTTGAGCTCGCTGGGTTTGTTCAGAATTTTGATCACGCTAAAAAGCCACAGTGAGGAATAATTATATATTCATTACTGTATATATACATGTTGGAGTTCATTTTTCCCTCAATGAAATGTAACTCTCCAATACCTGCAGCACTCATGCAGCCCCAGACCATGACATTCCCACCACCATGCTTGACTGTAGGCAGGACACACTTATCTTTGTACTCCTCACCTGGTCACCGCCACACATGCTAAAGGCCATCAGAACCAAACAAATTAAATTTTGTCTCATCAGAACATAGGACATGGTTCCAGTAATCTATGGGCTTTGTTGACAAGTCTTCAACTGTTTGCGGGCTTTCTTGTGTATTACCTTCAGAAGAGGCTTCCTCCTGGGGTGACAGCCATGCACACCAATTTGATGTAGTGTGCGGCGTATGGTCTAAACACTAACAGGCTGAATCCCAATCTCTTTAATCTCTGCAGCAATGCTAATAGTACTCCTACGCCGATCTTTCAAAGAAAACATTTGGATGTGACGCTCAGCTTCTTTGGACGACCTACCCGAGTCCTGTTCTGAGTGGACCCTGCTCTTTTAAAATGCTTGATGATCTTAGCCACTGTGCTGCAGCTCAGTTTCAGCATTAGCAGTACTCAATTTAGACATTTAGGGGTGTAGTCTCTTAGGGGTGTACTCACTTTTTAGGGGTGTAGTTTCTTAGGGGAGTACTCAGTTTTGTTGCCAGGGATTTAGTTTTTATGTCTATATTTTGAGTTATTTTGAGGGAAAAATAAATTAACTCTGTTATATATGCTGCAGACAGGCTACTTTTCATTGTGGCAAAGTGTCATTTTGTCAGTGTTGTCCCATGAAGAGATATACTTAAATATTTGAAGATATGTGAGGGGTGTACTCACTTTTGTGATACACTATATATATATATATATATATATATATATTTAGTTGAATTGAGTTTGTGACCCTGGGTTTCACGCTCTTTCCGAACGTCAGTTGATTGTCAGACCGCTGTCCAATAAGTACCGTTCATATATAATATATTAATAATATATATAAAAATTGCATATACATATATATATATATATATATATATATATATATATATATATATATATATAGACACATCTTACACACATATATACACACACACATACATATATATGTGTGTGTGTGACCTCGAATCCGTACATATGTATATATATGCCTGTGTGCAGCGTATGTTATATAGAACTGTGAGTGATTGTCTAAGAAGCTTGCAGGTATTTCATTTCGAAATTTATCAATATATACATTACACGTTCGTTGAAAAATTAAATAAAAACATTAAGAATTCTTGACATTCTTGCATTTGTGAGCAAACTTCAATCTCCATATCTTAATACGTATGCACGTGTTCTGGTAGACGTGTGCATACGCATAAATACTTGCATACATCAAACCAAAGACACACACACAGAGGCGCACACTCATATACATACAAACACACACACACAAATATATATATATATACATACACACAAATATATATATATATATATATATATATATATATATATATATATATATATATATATATATCTTTGTGGGCGTTCATCTGTATGTATATCTGTGTCGTTGTGTTTAGAAGCGTAGATCCTGATCTGTTGAAATGAAGAAAATAGGCTTTTCACTTCCGACTTGTTCATTCTATGTTTAATGTGTTAAAAAAAATTAGAAATGTCACAAATGCGTGCAGCTTTGAATGCAAATACATTAATGAATTTGTAATAATGCATGAATATTCCATCCTTTTTACCGAAATTATCGTCTAAAATAAACACATTAAATCTTTCTCAGCGGAGAGCTGGAAACGTAGTAAATTAAGTGACAATTTAAAGCGTCGAAGTTTGGCGTATATTTATTTTATCCCGCAGATTCCAAACCAAAACTCTTTTACTTGTTTCTTGCTGGTGATTTATCCTTCATTTTTCCATCATTAAATTCGTGATTAAGTAAATAAAAAATATATTGATATAAGTTAAGTAATTCTGAAATCAGTAAAAAAGTAAAAGAATTAAAAGCGATATAATGTTTGAATTAAGATATTAAGGAATATGACTCATGTACCTGCCAATAGGTCTGCATTAAGGCTAAATTCATAAATTCGGGAGATCTGTCTAAACTTTAAAAACATTATCCAATTTTATACTCGCATTTATAAATAAACCACTTCTAAGTCACTATCTATCTGCCTATCTTAGTCTTTTCTTACCCTATCTCTCTTTCGGTATATATATATATATATATATATATATATATATATATATATATATATATATATATATATATTTATTTATTTAAAAATATGATTCCATCGCTACATAAGAATTCGCATGTTTCCTATTTTCTATATATTTTCACACACTCACACACACACACACATATATATATATATATATATATATATATATATATATATCAGTTTTTTCATCTCTCTCTGTCTCTAGCTATCTTGTTTTTATATCTATCTATCTATCTATCTATCTATCTATCAGTCTTTTCATATCAAACATTCTATCTATATATCTATGTATGTTCCTGTCTATCTATCTATTTTTCTATCTTACTCTTTTCTTATACCCCCACCAATCTATCTATCTACCTATGTATCTATGTATCTATCTATCTATTTATCTATCTATCTTACTCTTTTAATAGCTTTATCTTTTGATAGCTATTTTTTGAAATGATCTATCCATCCGTCCCAGTCTTTTGATATGGGTCTATCATTTGATCTATCTATCTATCTATCTATCTATCTATCTATCTATCTATCTATCTATCTATCTATCTTATTTTTTTTTCATATATATCTATCTATAAACGAAGTGTGACATGCAGCTATTAAGTGAATTTTTATTTGAAATGTTCAGTTTATATGAATAATATTCGGTGTTGAATGAAATGCATTGACAACGATGTTGATTATGTTGGAAAAATTTGTACAATAAATCCTGTGTATATAACCAAAGAAAATCTCAGATGCGAATCATTACACACATGTACATACATAATACTTATAAGAACGTGCGCCCTCACACACACATATTACATATATTATATATATATATATATATATATATATATATATATATATATATATATATATCGTCATCAGTGCATTGAGTATTGCTGCCGTGTTTGGTCTGTTGCTATTGCTATATATCGAGAGATTCTATACAAAATCCAAAACAGGTCTGTAATGTTATCGGTCCTGACCTGGCATCTCTGCAACAGTCACCTTTCTATCACCGTAAATTGGCATCCCTCTGTCTTTTCTGTAAACATTTTCATGGAAATACTTCTAAGGACCTCCACTTCTTGGCAAGTCGACCGCATGAATTTAAGTTCACTGATAGACTGTCAAATAGGTCCTCATCGTTTTATATTGAATTAGGTGGATGTAACTGCAGGTTCTATTTTTAATAGTTTCTTTTCTCTGCATTTCTCACCTGAGAAACTCTCTTTCGGATTCTAATTTTCACTGTTACCTACGTTCTTCAATGATTTAAATGCAACGTCACTCGTCATGGTCTCACGTGATGAATCCTGTTATCTCATATTGGCATTTTCCGTCCCTAACGTTTTCTCAATTCCCGTTTATTTGTACTAACTCCTGGATTAGGGTAAAACGAATAATAAAATGTTTTATCACTTTAACCGTTACATATAGTCCCCGCGGTTACCGGGGCTGAAATTGTCCAAATACAAAGATTTCCAGCCGGGGTTGGTTTTTTTTTTTTTCGGAAAAAAAAATAATCTTCGAAATGTATGAATCCAGCTTTCCATTTTCTGACTTGTGGTTACAAGAAGAGTAGTCTAGGTCTTCTTGTTTTGGTTGGTAACCAACCAATGAGTAGAATAGTTATGAATTCAAAGTTTGTTGGCTATAGGACTAGCTATTCTAAATCGTCAAATCCTAATTGTTACAAAACCACAGCCTAAATGCCTAGAGTTATAAGGTTGTGGCTCTCGACTCCACAGGAGTGGTTAACATACACTCATACATGCATAAATATATACATACATAGATAAATATCTATCTATGTATCTATCTATCTGTCCATCTGTCTAAGTCTTTAATATCTATCTATCTATCACTGTCTCTTCAAATCTAACTATCTATCTATCACTGTCTCTTCAAATCTATCTATCTATCTATCTATCTATCTATCTATCTATCTATCTATCTATCTATCTATCACTGTCTCTTCAAATCTATCTATCTATCTATCTATCTATCACAGTCTATTCAAATCTATCTATCTATCTATCTATCTATCTATCTATCTATCACAGTCTCTTCAAATCTATCTATCTATCTATCTATCTATCTATTACAATCTCTTCAATTCTTTCTTTCCATCTATCTATCTATCTATATATCTATCTATCTATCTATCACAGTCTCTTCAAATCTATCTATCTATCTATCTATCTATCTATCTATCTATCTATCTATCTATCTATCACTGTCTCTTCAAATCTACCTATCTATCTATCTATCTATCTATCTATCTATCTATCTATCTATCTATCTAATTCTATTCCTGATCTATCTATCTATCTATCTATCTATCTATCTATCTATCTATCTATCTATCTACTATCACTGGATGTCTACTTTCCCAAGGCAACGAACACAGCAAATATATTAAGAAATCAAAAGAAAACGGTTGAATCCGTCAACACAAAAATAGGAACTCTATCTATCTATCTATCTATCTATCTATCTATCTATCTATCTATCTATAAACGAAGGTGAATCTCCATAAATTGACATGTAGCTATTATTACCAAAAACAGAAAAGATAAATTGACATATTCTTATATATTTTCATATCAGTAAACTGACTTATATTTAAAATGAAATATTTCCTAAAGTAAATTAGCGTTCACATCAAACATGGACAATATGATAATTTTCTCTGTCGAAATTTATAGAAAAGAAATTCTTGGCACACCATTTAAAAACTGATTTTTTACATCTTCATGAAAAAAAAACAAGGTGTAATTTTTATTCAAGATCAGAAGATTTCCGAGATTGAAATGCATCGGCTGGTGACAAAAAATATACTTGAGTTTGGTGTCGAAACAAAAATGTAATCCAATTCTAAATAATTATATTTGTCATATATATGCGTACAATTTGCAAGAGTTTATATCGCAGAATAGAAATGTTACACATCTAATGAGACAAACAAACCAAAACAAAGGAGAAGACAATAATAAAAACAAACAAGTCAGTGTCAAACGAATGAGCTAACAAACAAAACAATCGGGAGGAAAATAAGATTAATTGATAGGGTGAAATTCTCTTCTCACACACAAAAAAAAACAACATATATATATATATATATATATATATATATATATATATATATGTGTGTGTGTGTGTGTGTGTGTGTGTGTGTGTGTGTGTGTGTGTGTTGTGTGTGTGTTTTAAACTTTGTGTAATTAGGCAAATCCCTCTTTCATGCACATTTCATTGAATATGACAGACAAGGTGATTTGATTTAGTTTTTTTATACAATTTAACATGTGATTTATAATATTTTTACAGATGAAAAATTATAAAATTCTGTCCGAATATTCTTTTTTTATCGAGCGCTTTCGGCTATAAATTTAGCCATTTTCAAGGATGAAACACAAATATAATAGCATCATCTACATGCAAAAAAGTCGTTATTAATAAAAACAAAAAAAAAAACAACACTCAATAATATCATCTGTCTGTCTCTCTATCTATCTCTCTCTCTCTCTCTCTCTCTATATATATATATATATATATATATATATATATATATATATATATATATATATATATTCACACAACAAAGTGGACGCTGCGGTCAACACTGAACGTATAAAGTCTGCTTTATGTTTGAAAGCAATATTCAGATGATCTAAATTTTCATCAAGCCTTAAAAAAGATTCTTGTCGCTCAGTGTTGACTACAAAAGCCAATGTAATATTTCATATTTAAATACGCCTTAACACCGAGAATGAACACTTTTACCCATAAATATAGCATACATGAAGACTATTTTTATCACTGTAGATAGATAGATAGATAGATAGATAGAGAGAGAGAGAGAGAGAGAGAGAGAGAGAGAGATGGGTAATCGAATGACATATATCATCCGATGAGGCACTGATATATGAACTTTTATATCATATGTTCCATACATTTTAAGAATATATAATATATACGTGTATATGTGCCTGTGTAAATATAAAATACCGCACTTACTTATACATGTCTATATTCATCTATCATCTATCTATCTACCTCTCTTTCTTCTCTCTCTCTCTCTCTATATATATATATATATATATATATATATATATATATATATATATATATATATATATATATATATATATATATATAGGTAAACAGGTAAATTCTCCAACTGATGCCGAATCGGATGGTTTCGATCCTGACCTGAGGCAATCTGATATTAAGTAACACTAATTAAATAATATTAAGTGAGTTGTGATATGGCGAAGCAGTCTATCTGTGGATGACACACATACACACACACACACACACACACACATATATATATATATATGTCTCTATGTAAATATAAAATATCGCATTTATTATGAAGTAAAAGGGCTTCTGTACTGTATTAAACGTAGGTTATAAATATTATAAATATTAATTTAAAAAATTTGACTATTGTCAGATTTTAATCCGTGTCTCACGCTTGCTATATGCAAGGAAATCTGTGATGCATCGAACGTATTAAATTGAAAAACCAACTTCGTCTCATTCATTTTTATTTGTATTTTTCCCTTTTCTTTTTTAACAGGTCGTCGTTGTATATCGGGATAAAACAAAACATTTATAAATTGGCCTTAAAACTATTATAGAAAACAAACGACCACCATTAAAATGAAATTAGATTTCTACAGGGAAGAGACTTTTTTAATAATAAAATAGTTTTACAGGCACACACACTCAACTCCCACACACACGAACTCGCGCCCGCAAGCATAGTAAGAAGTTAGGAAAACGTACGACTAAACTTCTAATATATTACAGAAGATTGCATTAAACTGTATATATACGCATATAATATACGTACATTAAATGATTTAATTCGTTTTATACATAATTTTATATAACACTTACATATTCCTCTTTTAAGTGCCATATATATATATATATATATATATATACATGTATCTATCTATTTTTCTAACTGTCTATCTATCTATCTATCTATCTATATATATATATATATATATATATATATATATGTATGCATTTACTTATTTATTCTATACACTGAGACACACATGTATAATGGTCTAACGTTACATAGATGGAAGGTATATGTTTGAGGTATTTCTGACGCAGCCTATAGTCTGATGAATGGGATTGTGAAGACTGTTCCAATGTAATAAATTAAACCATGGAATATTAGTGTTTTGGGCCTGTTATATATATATATATATATATATATATATATATATATATATATATATATAGATAGATAGATATATATATAGATATAGATATATCTATCTATATATCTAAATATATATATATATATATATATATATATATATATATATATATATATATATAAATGCTACTCTAATTGAAATATAAATAATGAGTTTAGAAGGCGCTTTGATCACTAGTCATCCAGAATAAGTCTGCGCGTATATTCTTACGATGTTCTGTCAACAAAATGTTGGATATTTGAAAATAAAGATGGGGGATATAAAAACAACAACAACAAAAAGAAAAAAAACTGACAAAGAATCTAAATGAAATTTTTCTAAATTTTAATTCATCGGCGTCTCTCGTTCGTGTCCATGCGTATTCGGAACAACGTAAACAAATCCAGTCCCATTAGGTCCAATTATATTTTTTTCACAAAATTGTTCATGATATATATATATCCTCAACACCCACACACACGAACATATATATATATATATATATATATATATATATATATATATATATATATATATATATATATATATTATCGTTATATATATATATATATATATATATATATATATATATATATATATATATATATTTAAAAATATATTATCATCGCAACCTGAAATTCCGACGTTTCAAAACTGAAACTTCAATTTAAATTCAATCATAAAAATTATACTTAAAATATAAACTTCCTTTCCATTTTCATAACAACGCTTGATATTGGAATGGAAGTTTGTATTTTAAGTTAATTTTTTATGATTGAATTTGAATAGAAGCTTCAGTTTTGAAACATATGGAATTTTGGTGTTGCGATGATAATATATTTTTAAAATTCCAATTATAATATTATGCTCTACTGTTGTATCGATCACTTTTCTTAATGATAAAAATAAATGTTAAGAACTCTAAAGTATAAATCTCATTGTTCTTTTCTATTATTATTCACTATTTTAATATATATATATATATATATATATATATATATATATATATATATATATATATATATATATTATATAATGGGGTGAGTCCGATAATTATTTTAATATATTGTTTTTTTGGGGTTTTATACGTTATTTTGATAGATTCAAATATTATAGTAAATACTCTATAATAAACAACATTTAATGGTCTGAATGTCCGAGAAATATCATAGAATATATGTGCCCTCCGTCAGGAATCGAATCTATATCCTATATTACGGCTCATTGTTATTAAATTGTAAAATGTTTGTTTGATATTTCTCAATTTTTTTCCATACATTCAAATAATTTTTTGCACAACTCGATGAAAATCGTGAACAATTTAAACTTAAACTATTATTGAAAATACAAATAAATAATGTAAATACTGTATGATAGATAAGAAATAAATTAATGTAAATAGTGTATTATAGAAATGAAATGACCGACCCACTTTAAGTGAAAATATATTTCCCCACAGCGGTCTAATTTTTAACATGTTTATAATATGTGTATAAAATAATGAAGATAATGTTATACGATAATGTTATGGATGTGTCCGATGTTTTCAAAGTTTTTTTTTTCATTGTCTATAATATCACTTACTCATTGTTTATTTTCGTAGTCAAATTAAAATCTTTGACTTATTGATTAATTATTAATGGCTAATTGATTAAGCGAAAGCACTCTGGGTCAACAAACATTTTGGCAATTTATCAAATAAAACATTTGTCCAGATAAGAAATCACTTTTGTCAAGAAAAATATATTAAAATTAAATAAAATATATTGTCAGTTTCATTTCTTAAAACATGATAATAATGAAGAATTGCCGACCAATCCACAATATACATACATACATACATACATATATATATATATATATATATATATATATATGTATGTATGTATGTATATTATGGATTTCCTTTTTGGAAATGCTATCTGATGATCCGGCGTCCTTTAAAAGGGCTCTGGTGAAATAAATTATTATAATGGTACCTTAAAAGTGGTCTGTTTTTCATTTAATATATATATATATATATATATATATATATATATATATATATATGTGTGTGTGTGTGTGTGTGTGTGTGTGTGTGTGTTTGTGTGTGTGTGTGTGTGTGTTTGTGTGTGTAGGCATGTCTGAATAAATTACTGACATTATGTCTACTAATTTTTAACAAATCCGTTCATAAATTTCTTTTATTTTCATTTCCCAAGTACTTTCGACTTTCTTCCAAGATCATCTTCAGGTGTGCAAATAATATTATAAAACTATATGCTATTCATTAGTACAAATATCATCATGATACTCTAATGTGAA